GTTCATTCATTTGTTCATTCATTTGTGCATTCATTTGTTCATTCATTTGTTCATCTGTCAATCGTTCACTGATTAATACATTTCATTCATTCTCTTATTCTATCATTTATTTCTTCCTTCCTTCTCTTCTTTGTTCCTTCATTCCCTTGATATCAATACATTAAACAAAGTCCTTTAGGTTCATAATTACCATTTTTTCAACAAGCTTGATATCGTCCTCTGACCGTCCTTTCTTGTTCTTTCTTACATCTCCCATAGCTTTTTGCCGGACCCTTCTTATGCTTTGCTTAGACTGTTCACTTGCTTGTCTAGCTAACTTTACCAAATTTTGTCTGTATTCCTGAGTAACCCTGTCAAAAATCATTAAAAAACTCTCAAAATGTCAGCAGCTAATACTAATTAATAACCAGCCACACCCCAATTCTATTGTTTTATGTAGGTTTTGAAACCCAGAGTAAGACCGACATTCTTAAAGCAGGGGAGAGCGGGGCTGAATTCAAAACCCGGGCCAGGTTTTGAATCTGAAATTCAAGACCTGTCCCATTAAAACAATAGAATTGGGGCATGGCTGTTTATTAAACCAGTTCAAAACTACGGGCTCGGACTTTCATTGAAATTCAAGACCTCGGGCTGCACCCTCGGTCTTGAATTTCAATGAAAGCCCTCGCTCTATGTTTTGAACCTTTATTTATTCATAACTAATGGCCTACTTTGACAATGCAGTGACCATATTGAATTGCAATCTTCATCAACTAAATTCCAATGGGAAATTTAAAGTTGATTTTTGTGGAAAAAGAAAAACCAGAGAACCTGGGGAAAAACCCTTGAAGCACAAAAGATAACCAACAAGCAACTCTACTCAAATGCAACACCAAGTCTGGGAATTAAACCCAGGTCACCTTGATCATAGTTAATATTAACTATGCCTTGATTAAGGGAAGTGCCCTCACTGCTATGCCACCCATGCTTTGTGAGCATTCTGGTTATAGCTGGTGCACTGTCACCTTCAGAAAAAATCCCAAATTCACCCCTGGTTCATAAGGTATTGCATTTAGAAGTAATTTACAAGACTTACTTAGGAATGGGAACAGATATACAGTGACCATCTATTACTGGCTCCAAGTTGACAGTTGACTCTTTTATGGCATGTGCAGCTGCTTTTGTACTCTGCCACAACAAAACATGACATTCTTTATTTGTCTGTTGCTTTTTCAGGGAGTAGCATGGGGATAGGATGTGAAGAAGGACAGAGAATGGAGTGAGGAAGGGGAAGGTAATGAGGTAAAGGAGTAAAGGAGGAGAGGGGAAGCAGGTGAGGAAGAGAGGGTGAGGGAAGCAAGGCAGGGGAAGAGAGGTAAGGGAGAGGATGTAAGGGAGGGGAGGTGAGGGAGGAGAGGTATGGGAAGGGAGATAAGGGAGGAAGATAAGGGAGGAATTAAGGAAGTGGGGGTAAGCGAGGGGAGATATGGGAAGAAGTAAGGAAGTGGGGGTATGGGAGGGGAGATATGGGAGGAAGTAAGAAAGTGGAGGTAGGGGAGGGGAGATATGGGAGGAAGTAAGAAAGTGGAGGTAGGGGAGGGGAGATATGGGAGGAAGTAAGGAAGTGGGGGTAAGGGAGGGGAGAGTAAGGGAGAAGTAAGTGAGTGGGGGTAAGGGAAGGGAGATATGGGAGG